CACACACACACACACACATGCTGGATCCAGATGGGTCACAGCTCATGGCACCTGCGCTAGCTAGACATCTTCACTCGCACACAGCACAGTGTCATTTCTTGGCCTCATGTAAGCTACACAGAGGCATGGCCATTTTGTCAGTAACCATGCGAATGCCTGTGTAGCTTACATGAGGCCAAGAAATGGCACTACTTGACATTGCACGAGAGTGCCCATCGTCAATTGAATGATGATGATGCAGAGCCAGGCTTGTGCCTGCAGCAGCTCCTCTGTTGTGTTTGAACGTCAAACACAGTCTGTGCCCACATCCGTCTTCAGCACTTCGTCTGCCTCCCTCTGTCTGTCTCTTTCTCGTTTGCGTGTGTGTGTGTGTGTGTGTGTCAATCCATTATCATGATGCCGGTCACCACAGAAGCAATCTCTGAAAATCTCACATAGTGGCCACCATTACTCTGTCGGTCGCTCGGAGTGTTGGTTCAAGAAGATGTTCTCCAAGAGTCTCCTCTGAGTCCTATACTCTGAATCTTTCGCACACTCAGAGTATAGCACTCTCTCTCTCTCTCTCTCAGCATTCTGAGTCTCTCTCTGAGTCTCTCTCGGAGTCCCTCTGAGTCTCTCGGAGTCCCTATGAGTCCCTCTGAGTCCCTCTGAGTCTCTCTGAGTCCCTCTGACTCTCTCTGAGTCATTCTGAGTCTCTTTTTATGAGTCTCTCTCTGTGCCTCTCTCGGAGTCGTTTCGAATTTCTCTCTGAGTGTCGCTGAGTACGTAGGAGTCTGCTTGAGCCCTTCTGAGTGTATCTGAGTCTCTCCGAGGCTCTCTGCCTTTTTCTCTGAGCCTCTTTGAGTCTCCCCGACTCTCTTCACCAGTCTGAGAATTTCTCCTCTTCGAGTCTATCTGAGTCTCTCTGAACATCGAATATATATTTGTCTCGTTCAGTCTGTCTGAGTGTTCCTGAGCCTCTGAGCCTCTTCAGAGGATTCAGATTAATAAGAGTCTCCTCGTTGAATAGGTAAGATTACCCTGCCGTCCCCGGACCCAGATGCAGACTGTCTCTCTGAGTCCCTCTGAGTCCCTCTGAGTCCCTCTGAGTCCCTCTGAGTCCCTCTGAGTCTCTCTGAGTCCCTCTGCGTCTCCCAGAGTCTCCCTGAGTCTCTTCAAAACCACCAAGACCTTTCCCAGGCAACGTTGAGAATCGAAAAATGTAATATTATTCCAAAGACTTCGGATGAAGAGTGCTACCGGACCACGATGGCAAGATGGATGGCGGTGGCGTCCAAAAGATTCTGACGCAAAAAAAAACGCGGGCCGCTTGTTTTGGATGAAGAGTGCTTTAGGAGAAGCTTGGCGCGCAATGCACAGGGAATCTGCCACGGCAACAAGAGGCTCCAAGGCAGCCGTGGTGTAACTCCCCCTGAGTCTCTTCGACTCTCTCTCTCTCTCTCTCTCTCTCTCTCTCTCTCTC